TTCCCTGTCTTGTAATGAATTCCTTTTTAGTGGGATCTATGTCAAATGGTGATAAGTGCTACTAATCACTGACAGGCAGAAACAAAAAGTTTCTGTTTATCAGGAAATCCCATTGGGAAAACCTTTTGTTTCCATTTAATTTTACTTCTTCCATTCTTGCTTCAGAAGAGTAAGGTAAAATTTAGATAAGTAGGAAGATAACCTCTTTAAGAGGGTGGGGTTTTATTATGTGCAGGTCATGCAAAACAGATCTTAATTTTTAGTTTGATAAACAACATCTGATACTGTGGTGCATCTTTTATGTTCTTTGATGGGTCTAAAATGAGACTCCAGCAAGTGAATGAGGTGTTAATTTTTTCACAGCTTCTTTGTCAATTCTTGGCATTTAATCACTTTTTAAAATTCCCTTGGCTTGTGTATTTAAGAAAAAAAAAAACGGCCACCACAAAAACAACCCAAAAAACCCCCCAACTAAACCGTTTTAAATGCTTTTACATTGAGTACTTTTTTTTTTTTTTTTTTTTTTTTGCCAGAGATGGAGAACTATTCTAATGTGGTAGGTAGACAGGCTAGTGTGTGCTATCAGAGTGACATTTGCATCCTGAAAGGGGTTGATTTCCTGGCTGATTTCTTACTACAGCTGCACCAGAAAAATGTTATTAAATGTACAGACTCTATGAACTTAGTGAAATGTGAAACCTATTAAATCAACTTGAGTTAAAATCAACAGGAATTGTCATCTGATCATGCAGCTTTCTCACATATAAGGTCCAGCTGCTGCAAACTAATATTGAGTCACATGAAAAAAAATACTGGTTAACTGTGTAATACAGGTAAATATTAAGAATTCTAGTATTTGCTTGCCAGCTTCTGTTTTGTTTTGGGGTTTTTTTGGTATTAATTTGTATGTGTTTCTTTTCTGTCTTGTTTTTCACTGCTTGTATTATTCAAGAACATGGCGCTTTCAGTACCTTCCTGCTAAGCAGACTGAAGATGAGAGAAACCTTTGCCTTCAGGAAGTATTTGTTGGTGCTGTTGTTAACAGTTTACTTGCTCCTGCCAGAATATTTTGGTTTGGTTTCTTTGTGCTGTAGCATTTTCTGCAACAGAAATTTTGTTTAAAAGAAGAAATGAGACTAAGTCCAAACGGTGGTACTGTGTAGGGAGAAGTTGTAGTGGAGACCTAGCTGAAGCTTGATTCTGTAGCGCTGAAAAACCTGAGATACTAGCTTGTGAGTACAGGGTTAAAATCACAGGTGAGGGGAGAACAAAAGAGTAACAGTGATGCTTTGGGAATAAGCTACTGTTCTAAAAACTGAAGTAGCAAAACGAACTGTTCGAGCATCTCTGCTCAGTTTGTCCTTACATTCCTGTAAGAATTGCATCAGACTAGTTTTGTTAAAGTTCATAGTAGAAAACTATTGGTACTAAAGCAGGAAAAGGAACCTCTCAGTATGTACTGCTAGGCAGTCCTGTATATTTAGTATTGTAATGCAGCTCTTTGGAACAGTTCCCAATGTCTCTTTAAAGTGGTTTCATTACGGTTTAATTATGGGTAAAATCTGCCTAGGTTGGCTGGAATAAGAAGGAATGTGTAACTAGGGAGCAGAGCCGTGCTGGAAGAAGTAGTAGAGGCAGAAGAGCTTTTGGTGTACTAGATGAACACGACTTCTTGACTTAAACAAAAAGAGGCCTAGGTGACACCAGTCTCTGTGGCATCTTATATTTGGCTACATGGTGTCTGACAGTGGTGTACCCTAGCTGGTGAATTGTGTTAGCTTTGTGTAGCAATACAAGGTAAATACGGTGACATGTAG